TTGTTCTTCAGGACAGATCTTGAAACATCCTTTGTGATGATGAATGCCATGCCATTTCTCTTCAAACTGTCATTCCCAGCATAGATCACATGGTTGTCTGATTCAAAATGGCCAAAACCAGTCCATTTCAGCTCACTAATGCTGAGGATATCAATCTTTATGTGTTCCATTTCATTTTTGACAACGTCCAATTTTCCTAGATTCATACTTTGTACATTCCATGCTCCGATGATTAATGGATGTCTGCAGCTGTTTCTCTTCAATTTGAGTGGTGCCACATCAGCAAATGGAGGTCTTGAAAGCTTTACCTTATGCATAGGAGTAAGGCTGGGTTTACTCAGATGATACAGCTCTTTCCCAGTCCTATTTTGAGAGCCTTCTAACCTAACCGGACTATTTATAAAGTTGTGTAGTAATGTATTAAACAGTGTTTCTTTGCTATTGATAAGGTTTTCCCCGGCCAATTCCTTGACAAGTGGACAGCTTCCTCCTTCTTTCTAGTCTGTCTCAGTGTGTGAGCTGGGCTGATACCTGTGCACCATGTGCATCCTGCTGGGTTTGAAACACCAGTGGCTCAGCCTCAAAACTCACATCAACACGTCACCACAGTAGGACAAACCAACAGACAAGTTTATCTCCCTGTTGGAAACCTCTCCTACCACCCTTACCTGGGTCCCTGAGGCTGACTCCTCCTCTGTCCAGATTCCTAGGCCTTTTAATCCCCTTTCTCCCACTCTCCCACCCTGCTGATTTGGGCATGCCTAAGTTCCCTCTCCTCACCTGGGTCCCTGTGGCTGACTGCTCTTCTGTCCGGGTTCCTGGCTTTTTATCCCCTTTCTCCCACTCTCCTACCCTACTGCTTTGGGCCTGCCTTATTTCCCTCTCCTCACATGGATCCCTGTGGCTGACTGCTCCTCTGTCCGGGTTCCTGGCTTTTTATACCCTTTGTCCCACTCTCCCACCCTACTGCTTTGGGCCTGCCTTATTTCCCTCTCCTCACATGGATCCCTGTGGCTGACTCCTCCTCTGTCTGGGTTCCTTTTTATCCCCTTTCTCTTGCTCTCCCACCCTGCTGCTTTGGATCTGCCTGGGTTCTCTCTCCTCACCTGGATCCCTGCAGCTGACTACTCCTCTGTCTGGGTTCCTGACTTTTAATCCCCTTTCTCCCACTCTCCTGCCCTGCTGCTTTGGATGTGCCTGATTTCCCTCTCCTCACCTGGATCTCTGTGGCTGACTGCTTCTCTGTCAGGGTTCCTGGCTTTTAATCCCCTTTTTTCTGCTCTCCCACACTGCTGCTTTGGGCATGCCTGTGTTCCTCTCCTCACCTGGATCCCTGCAGCTGACTGCCATCCTTACAAACCTAAAATACCAAATTCCCCTTGCCTCTTTCATCAGACCTAGCACACCATGACTCACTGGGGGTGAATGGGGGATAATTCAGATTGTTGGTGGAGCATCCTGAAACTGAACCATCAACAAAGTTGGCGACTTCATTCATATCCTGCAAGACAAAGAGATGGAAACTGCTGAGAAAAAGTGACACACCCACTCTGCTGCACTCATGGGGTCTTTTCTTTATTTGTTCTTAAGAATCAGAGAAGTGATTCCAGGTATTTCTTTTCTAAAAGGACATGGTGAAACAAATGTTCCTATATTCACTGCTCACTGAAAGCATCACAGAGAGGTTTCTTAAAATCTTTTCAAAGTGATATTTGCTTAAAATCACAGAAAATGAATAA